GTGCTTGTGTTCGCTGGGGGAGAAAAAAAAAATCGGCCTCAACAAGGGGCCCTCGCCGGGCTCCGGGACCGTCAAAAAACGATTCAATATGAAAAACCGGTCCTGGAGGATGGGTCGAGACCTCCGGGGACCCCTTATTGAAAAAATCACGACGTCGGATCTCTGGGTCCTGGCCCGTTCTTCGAGGCGGCTCCGGCCGCGGCGGCCTGGAGCGCCAGCGGAAGCACCACGGGGGACGAGCCACGCCAGGCGACAGCGCCGCCGCTCCGGGCGGGGGAGCGGGCAGGTGCAGCGACCGAGAGAGAGCGCGGAGCTCCCAGCACCGGGGCCCCAGCTCCTCGAGCCCGTGCCCTGCCCCGCTGCGGCGGCCGCCCTCCCCGGCGGCAGCCGGCCCGGCGTGCGTGGGCGCGGGGTTCGGCCGGGGAGTGGCGGGCGGCGTGCTCCCGGTCTGGGGCCGGCGACTTTGCACCGCTGGAGTGGGCAGCACCTGTGGCAGCCAGCAGGTGTAGGCGCCGTCGTCGGTGTCTTGGCATCGCTCGGACGTGTGCATTTTCCCTTCGGCGAGGACCATCGAGGAGCATCCTTGATCATTTGGCGAAAAAGCCACGCACAAAACCGAAAAAAACACAGGGAATGGACGTCCGAGCGATGGCCAGGTGTCGCCGCCTTCAAGGGTGGAGCTGGTCTCGTGGGGGTAGCCTCCTTTTTCCGCCTCCTGGATGCCAGCAGCCAGGCGGGCGAGCTGGGGCGAGCACGGCAGCCTCCGGGGTTGAGCTCGAAGGTGCCCGTCCGGGTGTTGGTGTTGGGACACGCGTCAACGACGTTGGTGCATCCGCATCGTTCTCGATGCCAGTTGTGATGAGCAAGCTTGTCAGCCAGGATCGCGACCATGTCCTCGGCCATGCCGTTGCATCTACGCGCAGCGTAGGCGAGCCTCTGGTATGCCGTGGCGCTTGGGTGAGCCGCATTCGGAAGCCCAGGCCCATCCGGGCCCGCAGTCTATAGCAGATCTTGCGGTGTCTCTCGTAGCACCTGTCGTAGTCCTTGGCGCAGGCTGTGTCGCGGGCGACGCGGCCACTTCTTTGCGCGGGCACCGCGTGGCGGGCACCTCGCCCGCCAGTCGCCCGCTGCGGGACCCCCCGCCCATGTGTCGAGGGCCGGGCGGGGGGGTCCACGCCCCCGAGTCGGGCAACGGCTTGAGCCAAAATGGTTACAGACCGCCTCCTCCTCCTCCTCGTCCTCCTCCTCCTCCTCTTCCTCCTCCTCCTCCACCTTCTCCTCCATCCTCGAAGCTGGTCGCGCCTCCCAGGGCTTCTCCTCCTTCCTCCTCCTCCTCCTCCTCCTCCTCCTCCTCCTCTTCCTCCTCCTCCTCTTCCTCCTCCCCCCCTCCTCCCCCTCCTCCTCCTCCTCCTTCTCCTCCTCCCTCCTCCTCCTCCTCCTCCTCCTCCTCCTCCTCACTCTCCCCCTCCCCTGGAGGAGGAGAGGACGCAGGACTCAGGCAGAAGGGCAGAGGGCGGAGGACAGTGGAGGATCGATCGATCGATCGAGCTCTCGGGCCGGTTCGGTGCTGCACTCTCGCTGCGCGCTGTGCTGCTGAATAAAGTTGTGTGGCCTAGCTGAGGTCGCTTTGCTGAAAGGGGGTCGCGGGCGCCACTGAGACGCTCGGGCCCTACCTGCACCGTCCTCCCCCACGCAGGGGTCTGCGGGCAGGGTAGCACCCGCTATTTCGGGTGCCCTCTCGCTGGTTCCTCTACTGCCCCGTCTACCTCTGCCCTTCGGGTGGGGGCGGGGGAGGTCGGTGCACGACAAATTAGTCAGGGAAGCTCGGGCCTCGGAGTTGGAGAAGGTCTCGGTCGGAGGCGGAGGGGGAGGGCGTCCTTCCCTGACCAGCTCGTGGAATCGTGCGCTGGTGCGGAAAAAAACGGGGTGGCCTGAGGGGCCGCGCTCGCTGGGACAGGACAGAGCCGCGCCGTCCGCTCAAGCACATCATATTGTGCTGCTCCTCTCTCCGTGTCGTTCTGGCGAGACGTCCCAGTTCTCGTTCTCCGCGCGGCACCGCCCCGTTCTTGCGGGTCGTCTCCAGCTGCGTGTCCGTTGACTTCGCCTGGAACTGAAGCCTGCTCTTCTCCGTGATGTCCCCTCCTTTGCCCTTGTTCTTGCGTGCGAGGAAGATTGGGATGCTGTCTGCTATCTTCTCTGCCCTGCCACTCAATAAGACGTCCTTGTAGTATTTCTCGAGGTAGTCGCGCTCCGCTCCTGCGTCGAACGTGTGCCCCGTGTAGTTCGCCACTTCGGTCCACACGCGGGTGTGGGGGCTGTCGAGCGAGGCCGTGTCCACTTGTTCTCCCAGCTCCTGGCCAGGTGTTTCCAGGCTGTATCTGCACTCGATGTTGAACGTCGCCCTGTGGTATCGTTGTTCTCCGTGGTCCCAGTGATCCTGCGTGATGTTGCAGTTGGTCGCGTCCGTGGTAAGCCACTTGCAGCTGGCGAACGCATTGGACATGTCCTTCATGGTGGACGCGTAGTTGTAGCTTGCGTTGTTCTTCGGCTCGTGAAGCGCTGGTAGCAATTGATGCACTCGTTGTTCGTAAGGCGGCCTTCGGTAACTTTTGTAAGTGTTCTCCGTCTTCTGCTAGAAGTCCCAGGCCGTGTCGTTGGCGTGGTTGGTGTTCCGCCTTCGGTGGGCTAGCAGTAGTCGCTATATCTCCGTTGGTGCCGCCGTTGGTGGTGCTGCTCGTCGTAGGCGTGCTCGTTTGTGGCATTTGGCGATCTCGTTGTAGTCTTCCTCTATCTTTTCCTCCAAGTCGTTCTCGTAATATTCCTTCTCCTCGGCGTTGTGTGGGATGGCCTCCAGGTGCTGGGTATCCTGCTCGGTGCCTTCCATGCCGTCTGATCCTCCTGGAAGTCGCCAAAAATCAAGCCAGTCCTGCTTCGTGAGGTTTGCCGTAGTAACCGTCCAGAAGTCCTTCTTGCGTGGTTCGTATCTTCCTCCTGCTCGTGATAGTTCTTCGACTCGTTGCTCTGTGCGTTGTCGTTGTGCGCATCGTCGTTGCCGTTGGCGTGTCTTCGTGATGTCGTGCAGCTTTTTCTCGATCTCGCGCATCTCCGTGATCGGCTGTTTGTCTGTGGCGTGTGGATTGCCCTCCAGCTCTGTCTCTTCCTGGGACCTGGGTGGGTCAACGACCGTCCCTGGAAGGTCCCTGGGTTCGAGCTCGTCCGTGCAAAACGGGGGAGGCGACGAGTCGGCCGCAGGCGTGCGATTAGCCTCTTGGTGTAATTCGTGAGCTTCTCGCAGTAGTCCGTCGGTTTCGGCGCCTGGCAGTAGTACTTCTGCGCTGTCTCTACGAGGATGGTGTTGTTGTCCGTGAAGAGCTGATCGACTCCCTTTCCTGCTGGGTCCGCTATCCTCTGCTCTACCTTCTCGATGACTTCTCCTCTGTGTCGTCCGTGTCGAGCTGCGAGCGCGAGGCTGTCCTTTTCCCATCTCGTTGGCTGAGGTCGCTGTCGTATTTGTTGTCGTAGCAAGGTCACTTGCACTGGTACGTCTCGTCTGGATCGGCAGTGTGTTAGCAGGGGTCCTTGAGATATCATTGGCTCGGTCATGCTCCTCGGTATCATGATGTACCTCGCGTTCTTCTCTCCGAAACGGCGGTCGGCGTAGGTGCGAGCCTTCTGTCCAGCACCGCCTGGTAGTCGTTCGGGCGATCCGCCTTCTTCGAGCGCTGGTGTTTCTGGTCGTCCTCCTTTCTGTGTGATGCCGTTGCCATCGTTGAGGTCGCCCGCGACAATTATGCTTCTGTCTGCTGGTTTCTTCTATCCAGTTGAACCATCTGCTCGTCTTAGCGTAGTACTGTGGCGGTCTGTAGTATCCTATGATCAGCAGCGTCTGGTCGTGATGCAGGGTGATCGCGAGACCTCTTCCACTGAGATGCGGCTCCTGGATGTCGATGATGGTGCCCGTGCTGCGGTTGATCTCTTCTCCTGGTTGCCAGCCCGCGTCGTAGTATCTTGTGTTGCCGCGGCGGTGCTGCGTAATGACGTGTCGTCTGCGTGATGTCCCCACGATGATGTCAATATTGTTGTCTTCCTCGTATCTCACCGCGAGCCTGTCGGGCTTTGCCGAGAGCTGGCTGAAGAGGAGCACAGCGAGAGAGGCTGTGAGTGCTGCCATCATGCGGGCCGCCGCCCCTTCTGTCTGCTCGGTCCGAGGAATCGCATGGTGGCGGTCTGGGCTGCCCTGACAATATCTTAGGCCCAGATGGCAGCTGACAGTGGAGGAGGAGGAGGAGGAGGAGGAGGAGGAGGAGGAGACCCCATCCAGGAGGAGAGGAAACGAAAGAGACGAGGAGAGGAGAGCTGAGAGGAGATGAGAGGAGAGGAAAAATCAAGCAGTGGCGAAGCGCCCTGGCTCGCCTATAGCCCTACCAAACAATGTTCTAAGAACCTGTTGTGGTTCCCACGAAATGTTCTTAGAACATTTCTGGCGGAGTCTGTCTTGTTTTAACACATCGGGTTAATGTTCTAAGAACAGTGTGTTTGTTCTTAGAACATTTTGGGGTTCTAAGAACATTTCGTGCTAGGACTATAGGAATGCCGGGACGGTCGGTCCCTGCTCAAAAACAGGGGTCGAGACGAGAGGAGAGGATAAGAGCGGAGGAGGTGGACGACGACGACGAGGTTCGAGGCTTGAGATTCGTGTGTGTGTGCATTTCTGGCTTCGAAGGCCTCTGGGGAGCCTCTGGGGACATACGGTGGCGTCCAGGGAACCTCCGGGGACCTCTTGAGGGCATGGAGAACGACCCTAAGAGGTCCCCGTGGGTCCTTCCGGAAGAAGTTGCCGCCCCCGCACGTTCACGCTGCCCCTCCTGGGACGGCTTCGAAACGGCAACGACGAAGACGACGACGACGACGACGACGACGACGACGACGACGACGACGACGACACGGACGGACGGACAGACGGCGGCGGCAGCGGCGGCGGCGGCGGGCGGGCGCCGCAGGCGGTCCGCGGATGCGAGTGGCTCCTGGGCTCGGGCCTCGGCGGCGGCCGCCCGGGCCTGCGTGCCCTCCTCGTCGGCAGCAGCACCCGCAGCATCACCGGCATCACCAGCAGCATCATCACCATCATTGCAATCAGCATCAGCGTCAGCAACATCATCATCATCATCATCATCATCAGCAGCAGCAGCATCACAATCCTCATCATCAGCAGCAGCATTATCAGCATCATCAAAATCATAATCAACATTATCATCAATATCATCATTACCGTCATGATCATCATCATCATCATCATCACCATCATCATCATCATCATCATCACTATCATCGCTATCATCGCTTCCCCTCCTTCACGCATCTTCACTCCTCCCCATCCTCATTCTTCCTTATTCCTTCCTCCGTCTCCCTCCTCCTGCTCCTCCTGGTCCTTCTTCTTCTCATCCTGATGATGATCCGCCTCCTCTTCCTCATCATCAGTAGCATCATCAGCATCAGCATTATGCTCATCATCATCAGTATCATCACCATCAGCATCATAATCATCATCATCGGTATCGTCAATACCAGCAACATCATCACCAGCAGCATCGTCATTATCACCATTATAATGGTCATTAACATGATTATTACCAACATCATCAGAATCATCAGCAGCATTATCACCAACTACTGTTCTCCCCCTCCTCACTCCTCCTCCTCCGCCTCCTACTTATCATTATCCTCCTCATCCTCCATCTCATCCTCCTTCCCCTCATCATCAGCAGCAGCACCAGCAGCATCAGCATCATCATCAGCAGCATCTTCGTCATCAGGATCGTCATCAGCATCATTATTGCCATCATCATCGTCATCATCATCATTATCTTCTTCATCGTCATCCTTATCCTCACCATTATCATCAGCAGCATTATCACCTTAAGCGTCGTCCTCAGCATGATCGTCGTCGTCATTATCAGCCGCCTCACCATCAGCATCAGCATTATCATCAACATCGTCAGCATCATCGACATCGTCATCGTCATCATCATCAGCAGCATCATCTCCGCCATCATCAGCATCACCATCATCATCATCAGCAGCAGCATCAGTCTCCGTCCTACTCCCGCAGTATCCACCTCCGCCCTCCACCATCATCATCAGCATCACCCACCATCCTCATCACCCCAACCCCCCCCCCTACTCGTCGTCCACCTCCCCCTACCCGTCCTGACAAGACCATCGCCATCAGCACAACCACCACTACCATCATCATCATCATGGTCAGCATCGTCATCATCACTTTCATCAGCATCATCATCAGCATCATCAGCATCAGCATCGTCCTCATCATTCCCATCCTCAGCATCACCAACAACAGCATCATCAAACTCACCATCACTTCCCTCCTGCTCCGTCCTCTCCTGAGCCTCCCCCTCATCATTAGCATCAGCATCATCAACACCGTCAGACTCATCATCATCATCAGCATCATCATCAGCAGCATCACCATCATCATCATCAGCAGCAGCATCTGCATCAGCAGCAGCATCATCGTCGTCGTCGTCGTCGGCATCATCACCAGCATCCGTATCGCTCCCCCCCCCCTCACTCCTCCTCATCCTCATCCGTCCTCGTTCATCCCTCCATCTCCCTCCTCCTGCGCTTCATGAGCATCCCTTCTCAGCCTCACCCGCCTCCGCCCCATCCCCCCGTCATCATACTCATCTTCAGCAGCATTAGCATCGTCAGCAGCATCATCAGCATCAGCATCAGCAGCAGTATCATCATCATCTGCATCATCAGCACCGTCAGCATCGGCATCAACCGCAGCAGCAGCATCAGCAGCAGCATCATCAACATCATCAGCATCATCATCATCCTCATCATCATCCTCACCACCCGGTTCATCATCATCATCATCATCAGCAGCATCATCAGCAGCATCACCAGGATCATCATCAACAGCCGCATCAGCATCAGCATCATCATCAGCATCAGCATCAACACCCCCCACCCCCCTCCCTCCACCTCCCTCTCATCACTTCGCATCATCATCCTTCTCCTCATCATCTTACTGTCCATCTTCCGCCTCCTACTCCTGATCGTCCGACTCAGCATACATCATCCTGAATTGCAGCATCCTCCGCATCCTCCTCATCACCCGCATCAGCATCATCATCAGCAGCACAATCAGCATCCGCATCATCAACGTCAGCAGCAGCGCCGCATTATCCTCTGCAGTGCCGTCATCGGCACCAGCATGCGCATGTTCTTCATCAGCAGCATCAGGATCATCAGCATCAGCATCATCAACATCGACATCATCAGCATCAGCATCAGCAGCAGCATCAACAGCATCATCAGCAGCATCATCATCGTAAGATACGTCATCACACTCATCGTCATAATAATCATCATCATCACCAGCATCATCAGCATCATCATCAGCATCATCATATCCATCCCACCTTCCCGTCATCGTCATCAACAGCATCATCATCACCAGCACCCTCGGTATCGCCATCCTCCTCCTTCGACTTTTCCTCCCCCTCCGCCCCCAACTTCCCAATGCCGCCATGATCGCCAGCGGCATCATCCCTTCCACCCATCCTCCGCCTCCGACTCATCCGCCTCCTCCGCTTCCCCCTCGCCTCGATCAGCACCCTTAGAATCCGCAGCGCCATCATCATCATCATCATCATCATCATCATCATCATCATCATCATCATCATCAGCACCATCACCATCATCATCGTCATCATCAGCACCATCCGCATCATCATCCGCAGTAGCAGCAGCAGCAGCAGTGGCATCAGCTTCAGCATCATCTCCCCCCTCCCGTTTCCTTATCCGCCTCCGCCGCCGTGCCAGCACCGTCACTAGCATCATCAGCATCATCATCAGCAGCATCAGCAGCAGCTTCAGCGTCAGCATCCTCCTCATCCGCATCGTCAGCATCATCAGCAGCAGCAGCAGCATCTGAAGCGTAATCGCCATCACAATCAGCAGCATCAGCATCATCAGCAGCACCACCAGCATCATCATCAGCAACATCCGCGTTGCCATCATCGTCAGTACCATCGTCATCATCCGTATCATCATCAGCAGCACCAGCATCAGCCTCACCGCTATCATCATCAGCAGCAGCATCATAATCATCAGCCTTATCTTTAGCAGCACCATCATCATCAGCAGCATCATCATGGTTATCAACAGCAGCATCAGCGTCAGCATCATCCTCATCAGCAGCAGCAGCATCAGCAGCAGCGTCCTCATCATCAACAGCGTTACCATCATGAGCAGTCTCATCGCCATCCATGATCGTCACCAGTATCACCATCGTCATCAGCAGGTGCATCATCATCAGCCGCATCATCACCATCATCAGCCAACGCATCGGCATCAGCATCCGCATCACCATACCCATCACTACATTCAGCATCATCAGCCACGTCAGCAGCAGCATCATCAGCAGCCTCAGCAGTGTCATCCTCCCCGCTGCCACACATCCCCCTTTTTACACTCCTCCATCCTTCCCCCTCCTTCTCCAGCCTCCTCACACCCTCCCTCCCCAGTCAACCTGCTCTTACTGGGCTTCCCGTTGCCCTGAGCCTCCTCCGCGTCCCCATCCTCATCAACATTGTTATCGTCAGCGGCATCATCGTCATCACCATCGTCACCATCATCATCAACAACAATATCAGCAGCAGCATCATCTCCATCGGCATCACCCGTAGCATCCGCATCATCCTCATCACCATCAGCAGGAGCAGCCGCATCATCACCATCGTCAGCACTTCCCCCCCTCCCTCGCTCTTCCTTCTCCTCCTCGTCTTCCTCTTCCCCCTTCCCCTCATCATCCCTTCTCCTCCGCATCCTCCTCCTCCTCCTCATCCTCCTTCCGCTCCTCCTCATCCGCGTCATCGTCATCATCATCATCATCATCATCATCATCATCATCATCATCATCATCATCATCATCATCATCATCCGCACCCTCGTCCTCCTCAGCATTCGCATCACCTCCCCTTCTCCCACCCCCCCTTCCTCACTCCTCATTCTCCTGCTCCTCCTCTTCCTCATCCTCCTCCTCCAGCTTCTCCTCCTCCTCATCCTCCTCGTCCTCCTCGTCCTCTTTCTCCTCCTCCTCCTCCTCGTCCTCCTCATCATCATCATCAAACCCCTCCTCGTCCTCCTCCTCGTCCTCCACCTTCTCCTCCTCCTCCTCCTCCTTCTTCTCCTCCTCCTACTTCTCCTGCTCCTCCTCCTGCTCCTCCTCCTCCTGCCCCTCCTCCTTCTCCTCCTCCTCCTCCTCCTCCTCCTTCGCCTCGTCCTCCTGCTCCGCTTTCTCCTCCTCCTCCTCCTTCTCCTCCTCCCGCTCCTCCTCATCCGCATCCTCATTCTCATCCGCATCCCCCTCCTCATCCTCCTCAGCATTAGCGTCACCTCCCCTTCTCCTCCCCCACCCCACCCTTCCTCACCCCTCCTGGTTATCCTCATCCTCGTCCTCCTCCTCCTCGTCCTCATCCCCCTCCTCCTCATCCTCCTCCTCGTGCATTCCTTTTCCTTGTAGATAACATCTTCCTGTCGCACCCCGAGGCAAATTTTGAGGGCGGGCCGGTCGTTTCGCCTGAGACTCCCTCACCATTTATGATGGCAACAGCTGCAAACAGATGGAGGGCGGGTCGTTTTCAAAATGTGGCTCTCGCCTTAGCGCGGCGCACATTGATTGGAAAATGTTGCAAGGGCTTCACGTATTGAGGGCGGGTCGTTTTCAAACTGTGGCTCTCGCCTCAGCGCCGCGCAAATTCGTGTTTTTAACGTTGCAAGAGTTGCACGGATTGAGGGCGGGTCGTTTTCAACATGTGGTTTTCGCCTTAGCGCCGCGCACATTCGATTTCAAACTTTGCAAGAGCTTCACGGATTGACGGCGGATCGTTTTCAAAATGTGGGTCTTGCCTCAGCGCCGCACACAGTCTTGTTAAAAAAAATACAAGAGTTGCACGGGTTCTCATGATCGACGTACCAGATTGTGTTTTGGAAGGATT